CATGGAACCCGTGCCATACCCTACCCTTCATGCCAGTAAACCAGCAATCTGGGATAGCAACCTCACATCTGCCGAGCTACCTCGGTGGACAAAAGAGAGGGCGGCCGGATATCCGCCACAAAGCTACCTCCTTCAGCCACCACCCCGAATCCGAAAGGTGGCTTCCAGAGCTACACCCGTCGCCCAAAGACACCCAAAGCTACTCCGGGATACCGGAGAGGGATCGGGACATCCCTAGGCAATCCAGATTCCACGGCAAACTACGCCACCGCCAAGAAACCTCAACGGAATGGGATGGACCCCGGTGTCCTTTCTCCTACCTAGGAACTAGCGCGCCTGTGGGAGAAATCCCAAAGGACAAAAAGAGGAAGGGCAAAAGGGAGGAGTGGGGAGGAGGAGGAGGAAAGGAAAAAGGGGAGGATGGGGAGGATGGGATAGGGGAGGGGAGATTGGGGGGTAATTAGGTTCGGTCTGAGGAAGAAGACCGATAGGTCTAATTCCTCAGACCAAGAGCCTCTTCACCACGCCAAGGAGCCCCCCTTGAAGAGGAGGAGGAGGAAGAGTGAGGGGAGACTGCCTTCTTGTGATTAAGGACATGTTTACCTGGAGTTTACCTGGAGAGAGTTCCGGGGGTCAACGCCCCCGCGGCCCGGTCTGTGACCAGGCCTCCTGGTGGATCAGAGCCTGATCAACCAGGCTGTTACTGCTGGCTGCACGCAAACCAACGTACGAGCCACAGCCCGGCTGATCAGGAACCGACTTTAGGTGCTTGTCCAGTGCCAGCTTGAAGACTGCCAGGGGTCTGTTGGTAATCCCCCTTATGTATGCTGGGAGGCAGCTGAACAGTCTCGGGCCCATGACACTTACTGTATGGTCTCTTAACGTGCTAGTGACACCCCTGCTTTTCATTGGGGGGATGTTGCATCGTCTGCCAAGTCTTTTGCTTTCGTAGTGAGTGATTTTCGTGTGCAAGTTCGGTACTAGTCCCTCTAGGATTTTCCAGGTGTATATAATCATGTACCTCTCCCGCCTGCGTTCCAGGGAATACAGGTTCAGGAACCTCAAGCGCTCCCAGTAATTGAGGTGTTTTATCTCCGTTATGCGCGCCGTGAAGGTTCTCTGTACATTTTCTAGGCCAGCAATTTCACCTGCCTTGAAAGGTGCTGTTAGTGTGCAGCAATATTCCAGCCTAGATAGAACAAGTGACCTGAAGAGTGTCATCATGGGCTTGGCATCCCTCGTTTTGAAGGTTCTCATTATCCATCCTTAACCATGTGTGCATAGTGGAATGAGTTACAAAGTTTTGTGAAGAAATATCACCCTAACAAAGCTGTTGCAAGCTGTGTCTGCAACATGTTCAATGACAATGCTGTCCCATTTTAGGCAAATCTTAAAGAGACACCAGAAACAAACCTCTCTGGACAGATTTTTTGTGCGACAGGGGTCCAGTGACTCTCAAGTTGGTCCTAGTGCCAGTAAAAGACAAAGAAGGGAAGTAACCCCAGATAGGGCCTTGATACCTGAATTCCTTATGGAGGGGGATTCCCCTTCTAAACAATAACCTCTCCTCCTCCCTCTCCTCTCCATCTTCCATATGCCAACAAGAGTCTACAATAAAGGTAAAAGTGATGTTAAATGCTCATTTATCCATTTCATTAGTAATTTTAATTTATTTCTCATTGTGTTCTGTATGTAAAACTATAGTTATTCTCTATAAAATGTATTTTTGTTAATATTTTTGGGTGTCTGGGACAGATTAACTGGATTTACATTATTTATGGGAAATATTGCTTCAGTTTTCTTACAATTTGGTTTTCGTCCAACTTTCTGGAACGAATTACTCACAAAAACTGAGGTTCCACTGTATAAGGTAATTTGAGTGCTACATATAACAGCCCAAACATATTTAAATATAAAAACCATACAATGTTGATACAGACAGCCTGTTTCGTTCCATGTGTTAGCAAATATGTACTTTAATACTGTACAAAATATATGTGAAAAGTGATTTGAGGTGCGCACTCAGGACTGGGAAGCAAGCAGCACAGTTAACATGTTTAAGAGTTTATAGGCAAGATTATTTTTCAGATAAGAATCTTTATCAGCACGGTCACTTCTCCGATAAGAATTCTTATTGCTGGGTTAACGTACATAAACCTACAATTCACTATATAGCATTGTTATTTACATAAAGAGATGAGCACTTCTACAGATGTTTTAGGCAAGCTGATATGTAGGTGTGAAGTCGTAACAGATTGCTTCTTACAAAACAAACCAGCAAATCTTTGATTATATTTATGAAAGCACTAAACCTGTAGGAGTCACACACCACCTGGGGAAAATGCGAAGTATTCAGGCTACATCCATGAGGATGGTAGTTCCAGTGTCTTAGACCATGAGCCCCTTACCTCTCTCTCTCAACCTCCCTTGAAGGGAAGCAAATTCTTGAGACTTTTAGTTTGATATTTTATAATATAAGATAAGATAAGATAAGATAAGATTTCGTTCGGATTTTTAACCCCGGAGGGTTAGCCACCCAGGATAACCCAAGAAAGTCAGTGCGTCATCGAGGACTGTCTAACTTATTTCCATTGGGGTCCTTAATCTTGTCCCCCAGGATGCGACCCACACCAGTCGACTAACACCCAGGTACCTATTTGCTGCTAGGTGAACAGGACAACAGGTGTAAGGAAACGTGTCGAATGTTTCCACCCGCCGGGAATCGAACCCGGGCCCTCCGTGTGTGAAGCGGGAGCTTTAGCCACCAGGCCACCGGGCCACCTCAAGGCTTGGTTGGCAGCATCCTCAGTTCTCACACTGAGGGACCGGAATTGATCCCTGGCACAGGCAAAACATTGGAAACATTTCCTTAAACCTGTTGCCCCTGTTCACCTAGCAGTAACTAGGTGCCTGGGTGTCAGTTGACTGTGTGGGTCACTTCCTGGGGAGATTAACCCTTAAACTGTCCAAACGTAGATCTACGTTTTTTCAACATTTGAAAGTATGTAAAAAACTAATTTTTTTTTTTTTACATTTGAAAACATGTAAAAAAAACCGTGATCTACTTTTTTCGTTATATTTGAAAATATGTAAAAAAAAAAAAAACGTAATCTACTTTTGGAGCACTACGCATGTGAATGTAGATCTGTTTGGACAGTTTAAGGGTTAAAGGACCCCAATGGATTATTTCCACTGTGGTCTGTCAATTTACATGATTAGGGTTGATCCCAATGGAAATAAGTCAATCTGACTTCCTTGGATTATCTTAGGTAATTTACACTACATATGATAACTGTGCTTATGTGTACATGTACCTACATAAACTTACTTATTTACTAGAGAAATGTAGGAAAACAGTGGTGCGGCAGTAAATGTGGACGAGCAGTACAAGGCTTTTAGTATGCTCTAATAATTATTATAATGGGGGAGTGCTAAACCTGTAGGGATTATACAGCACCTGTGGGGGAAAAGGGGGGAATGGAAGGTATTCAAACTCCATTCAGGGAACCAGAGCAGATCCAATTCCCTAGATCAAGAGCCCCTCACCAACATCAAGGAACCTCCCTTGAGGGGGGTCTCTCTAAGCTACAAGACAGCAAGTGGTAACCCAAGCTTCGAGTACAAAAATACGTATCCAAGCTTCGGGAGTATACACATGCCTCTGAGCTTGAAAAGTATCAAGTGTTTAATACCAGGTAACAGCTGTAATATGTGTTTGTAGACTTTCTGAATAGAAGTAAGTCACTTAGCTATTTTAAATTTTGAGGGTTATAATCTTGACTGATTAATACTGTAATTTACAGCTTGGAAATAAGTCACTGACTTTTTTGGGTTATCCTCGTGAGTAATTTACACATACATTATTATGATAATTATACCTGTGTACCTGTACTTAAATAAACTTACACCATGTCTGTCCTCGTGCAGGGCTTGACCCCCATGCTCCTACGGGTGTGAGCAAAGCTTGTTAACCACTAGTTAGTAAGCTTATTCAGGTATACACAAATACAGTTACGAAGATTATCATACATAGCAGCATATATGTAGACAACCTGGGATAACCCAAAAAAGTCAGAGTGACTTATTTCCATTGGGGTCCTTTTGGACCCCAATGGAAGTCACTAATTTTTTGTTATCCTGGGCAATTTACACTATGATAATGTGTACCTATGCAAAATAAACTTACAATCAAAACTAATCACTAAACCCACAAGGGTCATAATTACTCTAGTTAATTATAACCATGGGGAGCGCTAAACCCGTAGGATTACACAGCGCATGTGGGAAGGGATAGAAGGTATTCAGGCTCAATTTAGGGAACTGGAGTACAGATCCAATTCCCTAGATCAAGAGCCCCTGACCAGCTTTGCTCTTGTTAAGTAACAATGTTGGTAGAATTACCGACAATATGTAAAGGACACAAGTGCAACTAATGTGACATTTTATTGTGGCAACGTTTCGCTCTCCAGGAGCTTTATCAAACTCCTGGAGAGCGAAACGTTGCCACAATAAAATGTCACATTAGTTGCACTTGTGTCTTTTTACTTTACATAAGTAACCATAGAATATATACTAGTGTTCGTAACATGTGTGTCCTCAGGACCACTGTATAACAATATTTTTGGTATGAAGGCAATAATTAAGTCAAAGTTAGTGGGTGCCAGAGCCCCTAGTAACAGTGAGAGAATATTTTAAGGTCATGGTAACAGTTAGTTAAGGTTTCAAGGACCTGCTACCCCCCTGAGGGTCCTTAACACTCCTTAAGTAACCTCCCTATATCATTCCCTGGGTTATATAAATACATATATTTATAGCTTTACGAGGAGCATGCCCTGGGGTGTTAAAACAAGGAGATAAATGGTTGTAGAGAGGATGGTGGCAGCTTAACTACAATGGCCTTGATTACAGCTGATATTTCATCATTGTGAGATGCGTCGTACTTGCCGGCTTTCGTCTGCTACACCAAACTTCTCTTAATTACCTCTTAATACGTCACTTACCTGTCGTCTCGTCGCTCCTGGTGAGGGCTTTCAACTTCGTCTCTTCCCCATCTTCTTTGACAGCTGTAATTCCTTCTTTCTCAGTGTCAGGAGCATTTTTAATATCATTTTCCAAGGCCATCGTCTGCTGGTCTGACTATCACGTGGAGTACTGCTTGGTGAGCACCCTGGGAGCTACGCAGGGATCACCACCCTCACTAACACATTGATTTATCTTATGTAACATTATCCTTAGTTGTATGTACTGTTTCAACCATTGTAATTGTCTCACATGGGAAGGTAATAGGGAGACAATGGGAGAACGAGGGTGAGATTAGTGGGTAGTTTGTGATTAAAAAATAGTGGGTGGCTAAAAGGGATTGGCTTGTGTCCGGTGCCCCTTCACAGCTCCTCCCGGCCAGACTCCGTGTCGTCTGCTTTAAATTTGAGCACTCGTAGTTCAAATGTGGTTTAATATATAGAACTGCAGTTCCTATTCCGTTCCTTGGATCAGACCTATTATTATTACATTAATGTTGGGGCTGCTAAACCCGTAGGGAGTCAGAGCGCCTGGAGGAATGGGAGCTGGGAGGTTATCACATTCAATGCAAGGGCAGCTCAGGTTCAATTCTTATATACATATCTTAATTACAAATTACTACATGCACAAAACATACAATAATCTGAAGACTCATAGGATGAACAGCATTTTGGTATCAAGGACCCTTCCTTGAGAAGATCGAACCTGATTACAACCAATTTCCCCTATATATACATTACCCCCTACGAGTTTAGCGTTCCCAAGAATATAATAAAAAAAATATACTGATTAAATTTTTAGTATATACAAATACACACCTGAGTATACACGTTTTTTTAACACGCTGGCCGTCTCCCACCCAGGCAGGGTGACCCTCTCCCCCCCCCCAAAAAAAAAACTCACTATCATTCACACTATTACTGTCTTTACAGAGGCGCTCAGTTACATCAGTTTAGATGTCACTGAAAACAGCAAATATCCCAACCCCCTCCTTTAAAGTGCTGGCATTGTACTTCCCACCTCCAGGTCTCAAGTTCGACTAACTGGTTTCCCTAAATCCTTCACAAAATATTACCCTGCTCACACTCCAACAGCTTGCCAAGTCCCAAAAACCATTCGTCTCCACTTATTCCTGACACACACGTGCCCTGATTTATGTCCAAGCTCTGCACACAAAACCTCTTACCCCCTCCCTACATCTTTTCCTAGGATGACCCTGACCCCTCCTTCCCTCCACTACAGATTTACACACCCTTCAAGTCCTCTTATTTTGCTCCATCCTCTCAAAATTACCAAACCACCTCAACAACTAAAAATATATATACGTACATAGAGTTTCTGCAACCGCTGTCAGTCTTAGAGTTATCTCTGAGTTACATTTTAATTTACATTTGTATTAACTCCATATTATAATTATCATTAATATGCTCTTTTTCTTAACACATTGGCCATTTCCCACCAAGGCAGGGTGACCTAAAAAGAAAGAAAAACCCCAAAAAGAAAGTAAAAATACTTTCATCATCATTCAACACTTTACACAAATAACCTGCACATAGACGAGAGGAGCTTACGACAACGTTTCGGTCCGACTTGGACCATTTACATAGTAAATAGACTATGTAAATGGTCCAAGTCGGACCGAAACGTTGTCATAAGCTCCTCTCTTCTATGTGCGGGTTATTTGTGTATCGTTCCAGTCACGGTATTGTGCCTTTTTTTGTCATTCAACACTTTCACCATCACTCATACATAATCACTGTCTTTGCAGAGGCAGTCAGAAACGACAGTTTAGAAGTCCCTCCAAACTGCCAATATCCTAAACCCCTCCTTTAAACTGCAGGCACTGTACTTCCCATTTCCAGAACTCAAGTCCGGCTAACCGGTTTCCCTGAATCCCTTCACAAAATATTACCCTGCTCACACTCCAACAGCTCATCAGGTCCCAAAAAACATTCGTCCCATCAAACCCGATTGCCTTACCTTTTCCAGGCATTATACCCCTACAGGGCTAGTGCTCACTCATGAATGAAATACTGTACTACTATTGGGAAAGTACTAAATGCACTGGGGTTGTAAAGTATCTGGGAGGCTAATCAAGTTTGATTGTAGGGTAGCTCCAGTTTTTCAGATCAAGAGTCCAGTATGATGGCACCTCCCTCCCCCTTAATAAAGGGACATTAACCTCACTGAGTTTGTAATCCAGGTTAACCCAAGACAGACCAGTACTGTACCTTACTTCCGTCAGGGCCCTGGATATCTCTGGGTCTTCCCCAGGATGCCACCCACAACACTTCCCTTGATTACTGTGTGTGTGTACTTATGTATATACATATGTATATGTTCCTTCAAAGGAACATATACATAGATCCCTTTATTTGCCTCAAACCTGATTACTACCCATTTTCCAAGACCTGTGCCATCTCTATGGGTTTAGCATTTACCCATGAATAATAATAATAATAATATAATTTTTTTTTTTTCAACAAGTTGGTCGTCTCCCACCAAGGCAGGGTGACCCAAAAAAGAAAGAAAATCCCCAAAAAGAAAATACTTTCATCATCATTCAACACTTTCACCACACTCACACATTATCACTGCTTTTGCAGAGGTGCTCAGAATACAACAGTTTAGAAGCATATACGTATAAAGATACACAACATATCCCTCCAAACTGCCAATATCCCAAACCACTCCTTTAAAGTGCAGGCATTGTACTTCCCATTTCCAGGACTCAAGTCCGACTATATGAAAATAACCGGTTTCCCTGAATCCCTTCACTAAATATTACCCTGCTCACACTCCAACAGATCGTCAGGTCCCAAGTATCATTCGTCTCCATTCACTCCTATCTAACACGCTCATGCACGCTTGCTGGAAGTCCAAGCCCCTCGCCCACAAAACCTCCTTTACCCACTCTTTCCAACCCTTTTGAGGACAACCCCTACCCCTCTTTCCTTCCCCTATAGATTTATATGCTTTCCATGTCATTCTACTTTGATCCATTCTCTCCAAATGACCAAACCACCTCAACAACCCCTCTTCTGCCCTCTGACTAATGCTTTTATTAACTCCACACCTTCTCCTAATTTCCACACTCTGAATTTTCTGCATAATATTTACACCACACATTGCCCTTAGACAGGACATCTCCACTGCCTCCAACCGTCTCCTCGCTGCTGCATTTACCACCCAAGCTTCACATCCATATAAGAGTGTTGGTACTACTATACTTTCATACATTCCCTTCTTTGCCTCCATAGATAACGTTTTTTGACTCCACATATACCTCAACGCACCACTCACCTTTTTTCCCTCATCAATTCTATGATTAACCTCATCCTTCATAAATCCATCCGCCGACACGTCAACTCCCAAGTATCTGAAAACATTCACTTCCATACTACTCCTCCCCAATTTGATATCCAATTTTTCTTTATCTAAATCATTTGATACCCTCATCACCTTACTCTTTTCTATGTTCACTTTCAACTTTCTACCTTTACACACATTCTCAAACTCATCCACTAACCTTTGCAATTTTTCTTTAGAATCTCCCATAAGCACAGTATCATCAGCAAATAGTAACTGTGTCAATTCCCATTTTGAATTTGATTCCCCATAATTTAATCCCACCCCTCTCCCGAACACCCTAGCATTTACTTCTTTTACAACCCATCTATAAATATATTAAACAACCATGGTGACATTACACATCCCTGCCTAAGACCTACTTTTACCGGGAAGTATTCTCCCTCTCTTCTACACACCCTAACCTGAGCCTCACTATCCTCATAAAAGCTCTTTACAGCATTTAGTAACTTACCGCCTATTCCATAAACTTGCAACATCTGCCACATTGCTCCTCTATCCACTCTATCATATGCCTTTTCTAAATCCATAAATGCAATAAAAACTTCCCTACCTTTATCTAAATACTGTTCACATATATGCTTCAATGTAAACACTTGATCTACACATCCCCTACCCACTCTGAAGCCTCCTTGCTCATCCACAATTCTACATTCTGTCTTACTTCTAATTCTTTCAATTATAACCCTACCGTATATTTTTCCTGGTATACTCAGTAAACTTATTCCTCTATAATTTTTACAATCTCTTTTGTCCCCTTTCCCTTTATATAAAGGGACTATACATGCTCTCTGCCAATCCCTAGGTACCTTCCCCTCTTTCATACATTAAACAAAAGTACCAACCACTCCAACACTATATCCCCCCTGCTTTTAACATTTCTGTCATGATCCCATCAGTTCCAGCTGCTTTACCCCCTTTCATTCTACGTAATGCCTCACGTACCTCCACCACACTTACATTCTGCTCTTCTTCACTCTAAAAGATGGTATACCTCCCTGGCCAGTGCATGAAATTAACCGCCTCCCCTTTCTTCCTCAACATTTAAAAGTTCCTCAAAATATTCTCGCCATCTACCTAATACCTCCCTCTCCCCATCTACTAAACTCCCCTACTCTGCTTTTAACGGACAAATCCATACTTTCCCTAGGCTTTCTTAACTTGTTTAACTCACTCCAAAAAATTTTTCTTATTTTCATTAAAATTTCTTGACAGTGCCTCTCCCACTCTTTCATCTTGCTCTCCTTTTGCACTCTCTCACCACTCTCTTCACCTTTCTTTTACTCTCCATATACTCTGCTCTCTTATAACACTTCTGCTTTGTAAAAACCTCTCGTAAGCTACCTTTTTCTCTTTTATCACACCCTTTACTTCATCATTCCACCAATCACTCCTCTTTCCTCCTGCCCCCACCCTCCTATAACCACAAACTTCTGCCCCACATTCTAATACTGCATTTTTAAAACTATTCCAACCCTCTTCAACCCCCCCACTACTCATCTTTGCACTAGCCCACCTTTCTGCCAATAGTCGCTTATATCTCACCCGAACTTCCTCCTCCCTTAGTTTATACACTTTCACCTCCCTCTTACTTGTTGTTGCCACCTTCCTCTTTTCCCATCTACCTCTTACTCTAACTGTAGCTACAACTAAATAATGATCTGATATATCAGTTGCCCCTCTATAAACATGTACATCCTGGAGCCTACCCATCAACCTTTTATCCACCAATACATAATCTAACAAACTACTTTCATTACGTGCTACATCATACCTTGTATATTTATTTATCCTCTTTTTCATAAAATATGTATTACTTATTACCAAATTTCTTTCTACACATAACTCAATTAAAGGCTCCCCATTTACATTTACCCCTGGCACCCCAAATTTACCTACTACTCCCTCCATAACATTTTTACCAGATGAGGATTTCTAAAGTTATCACACAGAAACCAAATCCAGGAACAGTCTACATAAAAACAGACCAGAGGGTACCTGCATGTGTCAACAGATGAATGAACTTTTTTTTAGTTATAATACAAGTATTGAAAATTTAAAGCTGATCACAGGTGCTATTGTCAAGGAATAAATGAAAATCTTGAAAAAAAAAAATCAGGGATCCATTTCAAGGTACCCTTAGGAATATTTAATTATGAGGCCTCTAACAGGTTTGCAAGTAATAGTCAATACTGTGGAACCATTTGATCAGCCACCCAGGTATCCCTATACTCCAACCTACCCATAACTATTAAAATTGCCCTAAGCTTCAGATAGTAAACCATACTGCTAAAATAGGTTAAGCATATAGATGACAACAACAGTGTCCTTGAAATGCTGAGGCTGTTTCAAATTGCCCTTCTCATATTTTAAGCCATCCAACTATTTTTAAAGTATATAAATTGGCCTCTTTGACCTGAAAAATATGAAATGTATAACTTATTTAATTAAAATACTCATCTTTCATGTTGAAGTCTTTTTTGAATTCACAGGTAATCAGTGACTGTTTTGGCAGCATTTTGGAATTTTTAGATTCCTAGTGACAGTGGCAACCACTGGATTATCAATCTAGACACCAAAATGCCTCAAATTCTGTTGAAAACTAAGATGCACCACAAAAATTCCAAAGTTCAACAATATCCTATGTTTAGCAAAAAGACTATAGGTTCAGGGATCTCAAGTTGATCTTTCTAAGCCTCCTTATACAGTGGATTAATTTTATCCTTCAATGCATGTTCTCCAAATCATTTATATCCATTCTGTAATATGGAGACCAGAACTGTACTGCATAATCTATAAGAGGTCTTAGTAATGTATTCTGTATTTTTATTTTATGTTTGGGGTAATAGTGCAAAACTTATAAGGAGTCACAGAATGCATGGGAAAATGAGAAGCAATTAGGTTTGTTCCAAGGAATGGAAGAGAGGTCCCATTCCTTGCATCAAGAACCTCTTACTGGCATCAAGGAGTCACTCTTAAGGAGTTAACTAATGATGTATTAAGTTGTACAATAACCTTTGGACTCCACCCCATTAACCCGTAAACGGTGCAAGCAGATCTATGTTCACATGTGTAGTGCTTCAAAAGTAGATCTACGTTTTTTTACATATTTTCAAATATATAAAAAAAAAAAAACGTAGATCAAAGTTTTTTTTTACACGTTTTCAAATGTAAAAAAAAAAAGATCTACTTTTTTTACATACTATAAAATGTTGAAAAAACGTATATATACGTTTGGACCGTTTACGGGTTAATGAGCAGTAGCTCATGGGTCATGCTATAGTTCCAGGACTTGGTGGGAGATGTACGTTGATAAAAAAAAAAACACTTGAGGATGGCCATTTAGATAAAATATTCACCAGAAAGTGCTAAACCCATATGGGTCATATAGCACAGCAAACATGTGAGAACAGACCACTGGGCTTACACACTGGCCTGGAGTTCTACAACAAACTTGTCATGGGTTCAAACCCCACCTGTGACATGGTTTGTATGTCATTCTGTTATTACGATTTAGTGAATCATGTGAGAACAGCTCAGTTAGTCTCCACAGCCACCCTGGCCTGGGAAGCCCCAGCTAGTATACACCAAGACATCAACAACAACTGTAACCACCCACCAAGAAAAAGTGCCTATCCATTATTGCTATAATAAAGTTAAGTGCTAAACACTGCAAGTGCCTGGTCCAAAGATGACATGATGTGTTAAAAGCCTAATCTGCTCCACAGATATTTAAAAATTTGTATTTAATTAACTTGATTATAAAAATGACCTTAAATATCTAAAACACACTTATACAAGTTCTTTAAAAACAGTTAATTTAAATACAATATTTGGCAAAGACACTGGGTTGCACTGTGCTTTTCCCATCAACATTAAAGGATATTTACAAAGGCTTAGAAGCTGTTAAAAAATATTCCTATTTATTAACGAAGCTCAGCATTGAAAAAACTTATTCTAGGACATCAAAAAACAAATACAGTAAATATAATTATAAAAATGCCATATTGTTTCCTTACAAGAACATGTAGCACACACTGACAAAACTCCTGAAATTCTCTGCAGATATTAAAATAAATTGTATTAATGACATAAAAATTCAAATATTAATTAACCAGTTAGCAATCACATTATACAGTGTCATCCTTGGATCATGATGTCTATGCCCTCCTGAAAAACAGAAGGGAGCCAAGTGATGGAATGGCTGTTTTCTTTGGGAGGAAATGGCTAATAGAAGAAAATTTATACTGTATATAAATGTACAGTACAGCATTTACATATTGCCACACATGCAGTAAACACAGAAAAAAAAAGAGCATACTGTCTTATTATTCACATCTCCAATAACACAAGGGTTATGCACTAATTTCAAATCCATTTAATTTTTTAGCATTTTCATTACCACAATTAGCAAAGCCACACATCATATTTGTACTCTTATACATCTCATTTAGTCCAGAAGTTATTTATTTAGCCCTAAATACAAAACGCTATCACAATTTAGGTAATGGCAGAAATGGTGGAACTCTCTGGTGGTCTTGATCTTGTTCCTCCTGTTGGTCACCCTCTGAATTTGCTGCCTGGCGTTTAGCCATGTAATAGTGGGAGATGTAGGCAGGCACAGCCATCACAACAAGAACAGATATGAGCAACTTCAGTAAGAAGCCCCACATACCCAGAACATAAAATAGAAGAGCAAATCCCAGCTCATATCCAATAACCTGAAAGAAAATTTGAAAACAATTATTGTAAAATTCACTTATTTCCTGTATCATACATAAGACATTATTTTCAAACTTCAAATTATTCAAAATTTCCCTTTTCCATGCAGTTTACTGTACAAGTGAAATATACCATTTCCTATTTGCAAAACCTTGCTTTCCTATACGGGTATGTTTGCAAGCGCAATGCAGGAGGGCCCAAATTTTCAGCGCTTTGCTTTATGTGTTTCACTAATGCAACACTTTTCAATTAGTATATGTATACACATTCTTAATTTATTCAAACTTCCTACAATAAATATATTCGCAACTCACTATAAGCTAAGGACGAAAATACTTTAAGGTAAGTAATGTGTGTACTGTACATGCATTTTTTTAGGCCTAGCTCTAATGCTCACTAAATATATAATAGTGTAAATATGTTATCAAGCTTTTACATGCATCGGAAAGTGAAAAAAAGGTTGCTTTACTTTACAGCGATTTTCAATTTACAGCAGTAGTCCGGAACCTAACCTGCTGTATAAGCAGGGCCCTACAGTAGCCCGGAACCTAAGCTGCTGTATAAGCGGGGCCCTACAGTAGCCCAGAACCTAACCTGTGTTAAGTGGGGCCTCCTGTACTCACTTTTCTCAAAGATACTCAAAGTGGGATTAAAATCCAAAGCAGCTTCTTGTTTTCTCAGATATGCCTTAATCCAATGGACTTCTCCCTATTAAATTCTCCCAATCATTTCATAAAGGGCTAGGACATCAAGTTTCCTTTCATTCCTAACACTGGTTTGTTTGTAATCATGTTATTACAATTTCATGAGACATTCAAACAACTCAATTTTAATGTACATACATAAGACATGACCATAATTTCTTACATGTTTGTTAGCTTGAAATCTCAAACTTATTCTTGGTGGCAGATCCTTAGAGACACGAGTGTGTGGAGAACCAGAACAGTTTTTGTGGTACTCGTACACTGTCTCAGGAGGTTTGAGTATCACTTTTGCCAAATATCCAGCTAGATCTTGCCTAGAGTAAAGTTCAGCAATATTCGTCCCATACTGTAATAAAAGCGTGAAAATTGACTTAATACAGGGTAAACACTGGGATAATCAATGAAAATACTGCTAATGTCTTGAAAAATTTATGTTATCTTTATATTCATGAAGAAAAGCTGTAAACCTGTAAAAATCATATAGCATTTGGGGAATGGAAAGGTGAATCAAGTTTGATCCAAGGAAGAGGAGGGTAGCTCCAATTCCTAGGATTAAAACTCTTCCCCAGCATCAGGGCACACATCCTCAAGAATCATGTTTTATCTGTAAAATATCTTAAATGTCATGTAACAGACCCAACCATACTAGGTAAAGAGAATTTTTACTGATTTTTTGAATCCCACAAAATGCAACAGAGAACTCATATAAATGCAGGGTAACATTTAGTGGAGGGATTCAGGGAAACCGGTTATTTTTATATAGCCGGACTTGAGTCCTGGAAATGGGAAGTACAATGCCTGCACTCTAAAGGAGGTGTTCGGGATATGTTGTGTTTCTTTATTCGTATAAGCTTCTAAACTGTTGTATTCTGAGCACCTCTGCAAAAGCAGTGATTATGTGAGTGAGGTGAAAGTGTTGAATGATGATGAAAGTATTGTCTTCTTGGGGATTTTCTTTCTTTTTTGGGTCACCCTGCCTCGGTGGGAGACGGTCAACTTGTTGAAAAAAAAAAATCATTAGAATACATTAGCAGTAGCCATCGCATTCATTCACAGCCATAATTATAAGAAACACAGTTAATTTAGCAAGAACATACAGGTGTACATACAGTATCTTACTAAACAGACATTTTTTTATTACACATCAGCCATTTCCCACCAAGGAAAGGTGACCCAAAGAAGAAGAAACACTTTCATTATTGCTCATTCCATCCCTGTCTTGCCAGAGGCATGACTACACTACAGTTCAAAAAACTGCAACATATCTCCACCCCTCCTTCAAACAGACACATGAAGGTATAAAACCTATAAAACTATAAATACTGGATGCATCAATAACACATCTGTAAAATATAAATCATCATGACAAATGTTGCAGAATTTTTTTTTTTATTAGCACACTGGCCGATTCCCACCAAGGCAGGGTGGCCCGAAAAAGAAAAACTTTCACCACCATTCACTCCATCACTGTCTTGCCAGAAGGGTGCTTTACACTACAGTTTTTAAACTGCAACATTAACACCCCTTCTTCAGAGTGCAGGCACTGTACTTCCCATCTCCAGGACTCAAGTCCGGCCTGCCGGTTTCCCTGAACCCCTTCATAAATGTTACTTTGCTCATACTCCAACAGCACGTCAAGTATTAAAAACCATTTGTCTCCATTCACTCCTATCAAACACGCTCACGCATGCCCGCTGGAAGTCCAAGCCCCTCGCACACAAAACCTCCTTTACCCCCTCATTCCAACCTTTCCTGGGCCGACCCCTACCCCGCCTTAATTCCACTACAGACTGATACACTCTTGAAGTCATTCTGTTTCGTTCCATTCTCTCTACATGTCTGAACCACCTCAACAACCCTTCCTCAGCCCTCTGGACAACAGTTTTGGCAATCCCGCACCTCCTCCTAACTTCCAAACTATGAATTCTCTGCATTATATTCAAACCACACATTGCCCTCAGACATGACATCTCCACTGCCTCCAGCCTTCTCCTCACTGCAACATTCATCACCCATGCTTCACACCCATATAAGAGCACAAATGTCACATTTATCCTCTTGTTGGTTTTCTAAACTATTTATTCAAACGAATTAATATGCTGAGATTTAGAGCTTGACAAAATGTTTCTTCACTATAGATGCCCAAGTGTTACACACGTGTCTCATTCATCAATTTGTCAGTTTTCTAAACCACTTATTTGTGATGAGAGTGAATGCATTTCCATTTTTTAGCCTTACATACAGAATTTCTAAAGTAAGTGGCAGTGCCAAGAGAAAACATGTGGTTCTCAGAAATCTATGTTTTCTCACCCATCTACATTTTTTTCACTAGTAGAGCTGTACAGCTTCTCTGACTCAAAATAAGTTATTCTTAGTCACAACTATCGATCACAACAGCTAACACCTCATCTCTCCATTCCAAGAGGATAAGTAAAATTACGTACATTACTATAAAATTACTATGCAGTACAGTACTGTAATTGTAATACCCATATTCTTAGTGGCCAATTGTTTTCTGCATCAATGGACCATCAGAAGACAATCGGATGATGATTAAATATTAATTTCATAATTCGGAACTTGCAGACAATTGATATTATTGTACACCCCCTTACCCATATTAGTCCATTAATTACAAAAAGATAATTACACAAACAAAACATACAAATACCACAACAAAATCATGTACACCTACCATCCAACTAACGACCACTCGATTTACGACCGTGTTTTTTATGCCAAATTTCTGAGAAATAAACAACTATTTGTGTTGTACACAGTGTTTATCCTAAACCTTACAGTATAAAATACAGTACTAACAACATAAAATGTTAAGTAAAACATGAAATACCAAAATAAAACAATAAAATAAAGTCATTACAAAAATGTTTTGTTGATATTCAGTAGTAAAGTTCGACTTACGACCATTTCGACTTACGACCGGTTTCTCGGAACCGAACTCAGTCGTAAGTCGGATGGTAGGTGTATTATAAATATGAATACACAAACTTACTTTGCAATTAATAAGTGTAGTCAGAGTGTACAACCATCGTACAAGGAAGGGTATTTCAAAGGTGCAGATTGGTTTTAAATCTGGGTCTCCTTCGTATTTCAAATCTAGCCTACGAAGCCCTGACATCAACTGGTGACGGCCTGAAATGAGAGAGAACCCATTTGGTTGTACATATATTAATTCATAAATGATAGGCATTCTTTAAACAGTTTGGTACAGTCACAGTGTGCAACCTAACTTTTCCTTAAGAGTTTGATGGTGGGAGCAAATGCTAGTCATACTTTCCTGATATGCTACATCCTGCAGGCTAGCCTGGAGTTTACATGGAGAGAGTTCCGGGGGTCAACGCCCCCGTGGCCCGGTCTGTGACCAGGCCTTCATATGTTATTTTATAAAACTTCTTAGCCTGAACTGGGAGTGAACCTGCCCCCCCCCCCCCCACACACACACATAAAATTACTAAGAATCAGTGGATTTATTCTTTAGTAACTCCTAACATTTAATGCTATGCCTTCTTCCAAGGCACAAAGGATTTTTAAACTCTGATTTTACATATTAGCTTGTTAAGATATTATCCTCCTACCACCCCCTCAATAATATATAATTCAACAGTTTAATACTGCACTTACCATAATTAGTAAGGACAGGACCCTTTGGGGAGCTGACATAACGAGGAGATGTATGGTCATCTGATGGCTTAAACTGGTGATATTGATAAAATGAATCTAACTGATTAGTATCCTGATATCCTGGTCCAATACCAGTGCTGCTGTGTCCAGGTTCAAAAGGTACAAGAATCTGTAGATAAAATAATTGCCAGTATTAAAATTTATTTGTAAAACATGAGAGCTGCATTAGAGACAAATATACTCATTAAGGCCAGGGTATACTGGACAATTTCCCCTCAAACTTGAGTAAAGCATAGTCCAGGTGCTTAAGGCTGTGAAGTATAAAAAAACTTCATTAAGTCATATCTCCCTTAACAGTTTTTTTGTGAGGTACTCTGCTGTATAGTCCTTGTGGCTTAGTGCTTCTTTTTGATTATAATAATAATAATAATGTGAGGTACTCTATTGAAGGCCTTACTGAAATCCAAATAAAAAGCATTTTATTCTTTATCACTCTTCGCTGCCTCAAATGCTCTTTTAAAGAATGTCTGTAAATTTATCAGGCAAGAATGACCTCTTGTGATTCCTGTCATAGGATGAAAAGTGGTAGCATATATTGTAAGAAGTTGTTTGATTTACAAAGCATGCTAAGGTAGCATGAATCAAGAATACTAACCTCCAGAAATGACTTCATGTAAAAAGCCCAGACAACTGGTCAACTCTGCCTACTAAAACCTTGACTTGTTCAGCATCTCTGTCTGCCTGTCACTATGCAGCTCCATTACTTGATAAGTCATGAAAATGTTCCAAGGAAATGTTGGTAAATGTATGGTAAGGTATCTGAGACAAAATAGAGGAGTAGCCTGTTTCATACTTTATTACTAAAAAAATTAAAAATTCAACTATGAGGACCGAACTAACTTTCTTAGGAAGAATTTTATGAGTAGTTACTTTGCTAGGTTTAAGGCCTATCATCCAAACTGTGGGTCTTTAAGGCTACACTTTACCTGCACAGGGTAAACTAGTTAGCTGGACTTAAGCCCTGGAAATGAGAAATACAGTGCCAGTGCTCTAAAGGAGGGGTAAGGATGTTGGAGTTTGGAGAACCATCAGAACTATGATGTCAGCACACATCTGGCAAATTACTGACTTTAAAATAACTGTGAATGTGTTTCCTCCTTTATCAGGTCACTCCATCTCAGTGGGAGACAGCTGGCACGGTAAAAAAAAATCTACTTAAAAGGCACAATAACAAACAAAATATTTACTGATAGCCCTCTCTAGGTAGTAAAAAGGCTTCCCTAGACATGTACAAGAACTTTCACTTCCTGAATTCATCCTTGAAGTACAGGGAAATACCTTGATGTTGGTGAAGGGGTCTTAATTCAAGGAATTGGAGCTACTTTCCAATTTAATTAAACCTGATTACTTTCCCCCAGTGATGTGTGACCATTACAGATTTAGCACTTTCCTATTAATATTATTTACTTACCAGCTGAATTAAACACTGAATCTACAAGCAGTGCCACAAGGCCATTATTCACTACTCACCTTTGATACTGATGAACCTTGATCCAAGGAACTGGAATTATCTTTCCTATTCTATGATCAAGCCTGATTATTTCCCATTCTCCAAGTGCTGTATGAACCATACAAGTTTATTGCTTTCCCATGAATATTCCATAACAATAACAATACTGTAGTCTACTCACTCAATCATGCACTCACCCTTCATTCACTCTCTACAAACATTATTTTGAAAAATATGAGAAATATTTACATTGAAAATTCCTGAAAGATGCCTCTGCGCTGTTTCCAAATGAATGACTGTCTTCCTGATATCATCACTGGATATCTCATCTTCCGTGGGAGATGAGGAATCAAAAATATACCTGATGGCATTTAAAAACCAGCTTTCCTTCTTGACCCTGCCATTTGCACCAGCACTAACACCAGCTGCACATGCTCTAAAGTGCTGCTGCTGTTCCCTCATTACTGCCTCATGTGCCCTTTGTATATGCTTCAGCAGTGATTCCACCTGTCCAATAAAAACAAGATGTTTTAAAATCTTTCCTAAAACCTTGTCTATAGGTGTTTTTAACTGGGTTGTTAATGTTGCAGTTTAAAAACTGTAGTGTAAAGCACCCTTCTGGCAAGACAGTGATGGAGTGAATGATGGTGAAAGTTTTTCTTTTTCGGGCCACCCTGCCTTGGTGGGAGTCGGCCAGTGTGATAATAAAAAAAATAAATAATAATAATAAATGCATTAACACTCTTATTTTATATAGAGGAAAAGAGAGCTAGTAACCCTTCACCTGTATAAATTACTAAATGTAAAAAGAAGAAACTTTTGTTTTTCGTTTTAGGTCACCCTGCCTTGGTGGGAGATGGCTGGTGCATTAAAAAAATAAGGTACATAAATATAAACAGTGATAGCCATCCTTAATTTTCAAGTGGTTCATTAAGCATATGAATAATTCCTCTATGAAAATAACTGTATCATATGTATCACCATCTTAGGTAGTAGGTTGGTAACAGCAACCACCCAGGGAGGTACTACTGTCTTGCCAAATGAGTAAAACGGAAGCCTGTAATTGTTTTACATGATGCTAAGATTGCTGATGTGTTTTTTCTGTTTCATAAACATGCAAGATTTCAGGTATACTATCTTGCTACTTCTACTTACACTTACATCACACTACACATGCATATACAAGCATATATATACACATATCCTCTGGCGTTTCTTCTATTTTTCTTAATAGTTCTTGTCCTTGCTTATTTCCTATCTCCATGGCCAAGTGGAACAAAACTCTTCCTCCATAAGCCATACGTGTCATAAGAGGTGACTAAAATGCAAAAGGCTACTAACCCCTTCTCCTGTACATACAGGAGGCCTTCCACATTCACGAGGGTTAGAAGATCAAGAACCTCGCAAATCTTGAGAATTCACTAATGTTTGGTGCGCAAATATGACGTAGGGAAATATAATAATACTGTACTGTAGCATTTATGAATGTTTTGATGTGCAAATATATTGTAGGGAAATATAATAATAGTATTTACTTAACCTACTGAACCAGGAACAATCATAAAACACATGAAAACATAACATAAAACACATGAAAACTGGGCCGCTGGGCATGTGCGAATGTTCAAAGCTCACGAAAGTGGAATTCACAAAAGTGGAGGGCTAGCTGTACAGCCTCTCCTCATTTAATGACGGAGTTCCGTTCCAAAGATTTTGTTGTTAAATGAATTTGTCGCTAAGTGAGGAGCATCATTTATAACATTTCTGGTATATTTTTAAATGCTTATACAGCAGTGCACTGTATATTGAAATAAACAGAATAGAGGAAATCAGCTGGATCCCCCGAGTTTCGTGATTAATCCGTTCCAGAGTCTGCCGAATGTTGAAATTGCCGAATGGCGAAACCATTTTCCCCATAAGAAATAATTGAAATAAAATTAATCCGTTCCAGACACCCAAAAATACTAAAATAATTTTTTTTTCAAATTAAATAAAGATTTACATACTGAAAACCATGAGAAATCAAGTATATACATATAAAAAATAATAATAACATTACACTTACCTTTACTGAAGACTTCTGGGTGGATGGAAGATGGGAAGAGGGGATAGGAGGAAGGTGTACACTATTGTTTGGAAGGAGAATCGTCTTCCATTAGGACTTCAGGTACAAAGTCCTTATCTAGGGTTACTTCCCTTCTTTGTTTTTTAAAGACACTGGGAACAACTTGAAAGTCACTGGACCCCTGTCACACAAAATATCTGTCCAGAGAGCTCTGTTTCTAGCGTTTTTTTAAGATTTGTCTGAAGTGGGACACAACGCTGTCATTGTACATGTTGCCAATACGGCCTGCAACAGCTTTGTCTGGGTGAAGTTCATCCATAAATGTTTGCACTTCAGTCCACTTTGCACAAATGTCCTTAATCTTTGAAGAAGGCACCTTCCTCCATCTCTCTTCCTCCTCCTCTGCAGCAATTTCCTGAGCTGTGATCTCTTGCTGTTGCAGATGCTCTTGCAGCTCTTCAGTGGTTAGCTCTTAACTGTGGTCCTCCACCAACTCTTCCACATCCTCGCCACTCACCTCCAACCCCAGGGACTTCCCCAATGCCACAATAGATTCCACAACTGGCATAGGCTCCTTAGGGTCAGCCCCAAACCCTTCAAAATCCCTCTCTTGTACACATTCTGGCCACAATTTTCTCCAAGCAGAATTCGAAGTTCTGCAAGTCACTCCTTCCCAAGCCTTACCTATAAGGTTTATGCAAGTGACGATATTGAAGTGATCTTTCCAGAACTCTCTTAGGGTCAATTCAGTGTGTGAGGTCACTTCAAAGCACTTCTGAAACACTGCTTTGGTGTACAGTTTTTTGAAGTTTGAAATGATCTGCTGGTCCATGGGCTGGATGAGAGGAGTTGCATTAGGGGGCAAGAACTTCACCGTGATGAAACTTAACTCCTCCACTATTTGCTCTTCCAAGTCTGGAGGATGAGCAGGAGCATTGTCCATTACCAGGAGGCACTTGAGTGGCAATTTATTTTCCAGTAGGTATTTCTTCACACTGGGGCCAAACACTTCATTAAACCAGTCTAGGAAAATTCCCCTCGTGACCCATGCCTTATTGTTAGCCTTCCACATCACACACAAATTACTCTTGGCGACACTGTTTTTCTTGAACACTCAGGGATTTTCAGAGTGATACACCAGTAAAGGCTTCACTTTGCAATCCCCACTAGCATTACTACAAAACATGAGAGTAAGCCTATCCTTCATAGGCTTGTGTCCTGGGAGTGCCGTTTCCTCCTGTGTGATGTAGGTCCTCTTTGGCATTTTCTTCCAAAAGAGGCCTGTTTCGTCACAATTAAACACCTGTTGGGGTTTGAATTCTCCAGTGTCTACACACTCCTTAAACTCCTGTACAAACTTCTCAACTGCTTTTTTGTCAGAACTGGCAGCCTCACCATGCCTTATCACACTGTGAATGCCACTACACTTCTTAAATCTCTCAAACCAACCTTTGCTGGCCTTAAAATTTCTTTATGAGATCGTCATGCCTTTTCACATATTATCGACTGCATAATACTATCTCCTGCTAACTGTTTTTGGGTAATCCATACCAACAATAACCTTTCCACTTCTTCGAGGATTTGCGATCTCTTTTTTGTCAGCATATCTACCTCTTTTGCAACAACAGCACACTTTATTTCCTTTCCCTTCGCCACAATCGAAGTGATGGTTGAATGGGGTTTGCCATACATCCTGGCAAATTCTGTAACACGCACTCCGCTCTCATATTTTTCAATGATTTCCTTTTTGAATTCGATCGTGTTCCTTGCTTTCTTTACCAAAGGGCTTGCACTAGCTTTCCTTGGGCCCATGGTGACTTATTTAGCAATTGCAAGCACAAAAAAACAATGGATTATTATGAACTGCACTGTATGAACCCGTGGGGTGATGGTCACGTGCTGGTAAACAATGGCACACTGAGTGTGAATGGTGTGGGAGACTGGCTTTGTGTGCGCAGTGATGGGTGGACGGGTACCGGACGGTCGCTGAATCACGAGTCCAATCACGAACCACGAGGCTAAATTTTGCCGAAAAAACTTGCCGAAAGTCGGATTTCACGAAAGTCGATGCTGACGAAACTCGGGTCCACTGTACATTATTTAGGTATGAATACTGGTCAGAGAGCCCACGTTGGTAAACAAGTACGTTGCTAAGTGAGGAGAGGCTGTATTACTAAAGTTAAAAAGAGAAACTTTCCTTTTCCTTTTTGGGCCACCCTGCCTCAGATATGGCCGGTTTGTTGAAAGATGTATCACCATGTAAAATGTACTTTGTTATCTGCTGCACTACTGGGTCAAGCTGCCTTGGTGAGTAATGTTCAGTGAGTTAACAAGAAAAAAAGAATTACTGAAGACCGAGCATCACAAGTATTGCCTGGTTGTTGGAGAGAGAGGTGGGATTAAATTATGCAGAATCAAATACAAAATGGGAGTTGACACAGTTACTTTTTGCTGATGATACTGTGCTTTTGGGAGATTCTGAAGAGAAGTTGCAAAGTTACTAGATAAGTTTGGAAGGGTGTGTCAAGGAAGAAAGCTGAAAGTGAACATAGATAAGAGTAAGGAGATGAGGGTATCAAACAAGTTAGGTAAGGAAAAACTGGATATCAGATTGGAGAGAGAGAGTATGGAAAAAGTGAATGTGTTCAGATATTTGGGAGTAGACTTATTGGCAGATGGGTTTATGAAAGAAGAGGTAAACCAAAGAATTGATGAAGGAAAAAAGGTGGGCTGTGCAATGAGGTATCTGTGGAGATGAAGAATGTTATCCATGGAGGCAAAGTAGGGAATGTATGAGAGTATAGTGGTACCAACACTTTTATATGGGTGTGAAGCATGGGTTGTGAATGTTGCAGTGGGAAGGAGGCTGAAGGCAGTGAAGATGTCATGTCTAAGGGCAATAAGTGGCATAAATATTATGGAAAGAATCTGTAGTGTGGAAATTAGAGGTGTGGAATTACTAAGAGTATTATTCAGAGGGCTGAGGAGGGGTTGTTGAGGTGGTTTGATCATTTAGAGAGGATGGAGTAAAATAGGACAACTTGGAGGGTGTATAAATCTGTAGTGGAGGAAGGAGGGATAGGGGTCGTCCTAGGAAAAGATGGAGGGAGGGGGGTAAGAGAGGTTTTTGTGTGCAATGAGCTCAGACATACAGCAAACATGTGTGAGCGTGTTTGATAGGAGTGAGTGGAGATGAATGGTTTTTGGGACTTGATGAGCTGTTGGACTGTGAGCAGGGTAATATTTTGTGAATGGAGGGGTGCTGATAATTGGCAATTTTATAACTGTAGTGTAGGCACACCTCTGGCAAGAAAGTGATGGAGTAAATGATGACGAAAGTCTTTCTTCTCTTTCAGGTCACCCTGCCTTGGCAGGAAACAGTTGATGTGTTAAAAACAAAAGCCAGGGAAACCGGTTTGCTGGACTTGAGTCCTGGAGGTGGGAAATACAATGCCTACACTTTAAAGGTTGTAAAAACTTGATTTCATTCCTAATTATACAGTTTTTAAATGTAAATGATTGTAATTTAGAACCTCTTGTATAAAAATAATAAAAAACATAATAAAAAATTTTCCTTACCATTGTAATATTCCCTGAGCTAAACATAGGATGATAAGAATGACTAGGGCCTTCCATCTCTACAATATGACCTCGGGCAACAGACGCAAGAGAACGTGCTGGAAACTGATCATTGTGAATGCCAGAAAATCCTCCATGATGACCTAGGGAATGAGATGTTCCACCAAGTAAGGAGCGGTGCATGAAGTGAGGATCCTCCAGGGCCTCTTCTATTTCACGGATAAAGCTGCCAAGGTTGGTCTGAGAGAAAACCTGTTAAGACAAATTTGCAATTTGAAAATATAAGTTTTTAGAACACTGTAGGAATCATTTTCACAACAGAGTAAATCATTCAGAGTTATTCTCCTATGTGTGCATTATTTCCTAGGTAGTAGGTTGGTAGACAGCAACTGCCCAGGGAGGTACTACCGTCCTGCCAAGTGAGTGTAAAACTGAAGCCTGTAATTGTTTTACACAATGGTAGGATTGCTGGTGTCTTTTTTTTTGTCTCATACACATGCAAGATTTCAGGTACGTCTTGCTACTTCTACTTACACTTAGGTCACACTACACATACATGTACAAGCATATATATATACACCCCTTTGGGTTTTCTTCTATTTTCTTTCTAGTTCTTGTTTATTTCCTCTTACCTCCATGGGGAAGTGGAACAGAATTCTTCCTCCGTAAGCCATGCGTGTTGTAAGAGGCGACTAAAATGCCGGGAGCAAGGGGCTAGTAACCCCTTCTCCTGTATATATTACTAAATGTAAAAGGAGAAACTTTCGTTTTTCCTTTTGGGCCACCCCGCCTCGGTGGTATACGGCCGTTGTGTTGAAAGAAAGAAAGAAAGTGTGCATTATTTGTATCTTGTCAGATTTTGTCATAATGATCAAATATCCTAGTCATGGTACAATCAACACCTATTCTATGAGTATATAATTCAAACATTACTCACCTTTGTAACCCTAAAAAGAATCTGAGCATTCTTAGGAGCCGACAAGTCCAAGCGAAACAGTCGACATACAAGGTGGTAGAATAGCAAGCTGTAGAATAGGAGATTCTCAGCAATAAAACCCTGCCACTTTCCTTCCACAGATCGTTGCGATTCATAGTCTGAAGAGCCTTGTGTTGGACTTCTAAAACATAACAATTTATATATTAGGAGATAAAGTACATGCCAGATTCTAGTGAATATTAGTCATGAGCTATATCTTAAATTTGTTTCCTAAATGTTAATACTGTAACTGACCTATTAGTTGGTGAGTAGTCTGTGTACCTCCATGGCTGTATATAAGACAGCCACGTCTCAAGAACCAATCTGAAGGAGGAATCCAATGGCCAATGGCTGAAGGTATGACGAAGAAACCGGTAAAGGCTCTTTCGATACATGTTCCACAGGTTCCTAAAAGAAAGAATTATCAAAGACACCACTAAGCATTACTATACTTGGGCACCTTGTACAAAGAATATGGAATGTTCACTGCAAAACAAATACTTGAATTAAAAGCTACAAGATGAGAAGTTAGTGCTTTAAAGCATCACATTAGTAATTTAATATGCATCAGATATTCTTTTCATTATGTTGGTAATTTTCCACCAAGCTAAACTAATCTGACAAAAGATGTTACCCATCATTTATTTATTATATTTTTTATAGTGTATTCACAAAAGCCCTAGCTTGTATGGGTTAATCAGCACTGCTGATTGAGACACAAGATGAGAATAGTTGTGGTAGGAAATCAGTTTCATTTAAAAAGGGATACTGACTGCATTAAAGGTGTGATTCTTACAGAAGAGGATAGGCAGTGTAAGCATGTCAGGATGTCAAGAAGTTGTAAAGGATGTCAAGTGTTCTCTGATAAAGATGAACAATAAAAATATGTTGGATTATCAGTATAAACTAAGAATTTTTGCAGTGGAGCTGAGGTTTCACCATTAGTTCACATGTAAATATGGTATGTCCAGTACTCAAGTTATCAGAATGCATGGATAAGTTAAAGGCCAAATGCCCTCAAAGGGAAGATAAAAGTGAAGTCTATTGATGGTTATTAGGAATATGTTAGTGCTAATAAGTATACTTTTGTGACTCATGAAATAACATGACTGCAAACAAATCACAAAACAAGTAGGGGCTGAACCCATGACAAGCAAGTCCTAAAACTCACAGACCAGTGGATAGCAGACTGACCTGCGAGTTTTAGGACTAACTTGCCATGGGTTCAAGCGCTACACGTTCTGTGATTTATACCTTAGTGGTATACATACCAATTTTTGCATCCAAAGATGCACTCATTTCTTGACAGACATACTCAACACTTACATCTTTTTTTCCTTCATCTACTCTTTGATTTACATCTTCATTTACGGACACCTCTGATAATATATTGGCTCCAAAGAATCAGAATAAATCCACTTCCTCAACTCCCCTTTTTACTATGACCTCTATTTTTTCATAGTCTATAATTACATTAATTTTTACTACCACACTGGAAAAGCAAAGTTCACAGATCCTGTACCTAATATAGTTTATGGTATTAAATTTGTAGGGAGACAGAAAATGAAAAAATGGAAAAGACAATACCTGGGAAACTGAAGATTATCAATGGTATCAATACTGACCTGGAAGAGTTTTAACCCTCTACAGTACATATCACAACATGGTAGTAAGGAAGTCATTTGCAATCAGGTATTCTTTTTAAAGATTAGATGAAGAGGTACGATAGGAAAAGTCCGGAAAAGTTAAATAATGCCAAAAGATGTAACATGAAATGATAATCAAGACTCACTTGCGCAAATCATCTAAAGGCGATGGCTGTGCTGGCTTTCCACTATTAGCAAAGAAATGCAGATGTTTTATAAGCATCCTCACAACCCTCACATGATCACTTGATGGCACAAAAACTTCCTAAGTGTAAATACAAACAATACTATAGAAGAACGTTGAACACAAATCAGTTAACATAACAAACTATACGTTGTAAACATTTTGAGACAGAAGCAACTTAAACAGTAAGATATTATGCTATATTTGAAACACCTGACAATTTGAAATATAAATGGAAATTTGAAATACTATTGTCACAAAGTAATGAAAGGTTTAAACTCAAAATACTGTCAATAAATAATATACAGGAGTCATGATTATTAACAATAAAATTTTTCATAAATATTTAATAGTAAATTAAATATAGTACAAGATTTTCAACTTAGCCAAATATCATTAAGAAACACAAATTTTTTTTTAGTTAAATGATGTTAATTTTAAAAATAAAAAAGATGCCAGCAGCTAAAGCTGGAGTATACAGAAAAAGTATGCATGTCTTGCAAGTCAAGCCAGCATTTGTTATCAAAAACTGAAACTCAAAGTATCCATATTAAAGGTATATTTCACAACTAACCCCCAACTCTGAGAGGGAACTATTAGCTGTGACTTGATAATGGTTCAGGATCAGCCCATCCTTCTAATCAAAGTCAGTATCTAACTGTAGTTAACACATTAGGATGGGTAACTCTCGTAGGAGCCTTAAACAGTCAATTGACTGTGTATTATAGTGTGTTCAGTGAGTACCAGTTTCATGTTTCATGCTGGACTTGAGTCGTGGCTTATGAGGTCTCTAGGGAGACCTAATTATATGGTCACACCTTGCCTTGGCAAATGGCTATTAGCCACGCCTTTTTGGCTTAAGTCTCAGCTCCTTTGTTCATCACTGGCATCAGATCTCGGCGTCAGGTCGTAACATGTGGTCTACGCCTTATGGGGAACGGGGTGCTTAGAGGAATATAAGCCAGGGAACAGCTGAGCAAGGGGTTGTTGGAGACAGGTCCGGGGAGTGAGAGCTCTGGACAGCCACGTGTGTAGTGGACCACGCATTGGGAATCTCGGGTCAGCTGGTCAGCGAATTAAGAGTGAGTACTAGTCCGTGTTACTGATAACATCTTGCCTTCTCCCTGGTAATAAGTCTCATAGGTCAATTGTTATATTATGTCAATTTCCATCAGAATATATCGTATTCTAGCCCTTTTATGTTATTAAGTAAACTATAGCCATAGTTCCCAATTTTATTTGTACCTTCACATGCTATTCCCTATTCTGTTAAGCACTGGGATAACACAGGAGACGTGCTCACTTGCTGGGATACCTCAGGCAGAGTGGGTAAAGGTCTCACAATATTTACCTATCTAATCTACATACCTAATCTAAATGAGGTAAATTGGGAAATTTGCTGAACACTGCAGGTGAGAGATTGACTTGTAGGAGGATGGGCTACCAGGACCAACCAAAACATCGTGTAAATTATCCTCTCCAAATTATGGTTAGTTGTTATTGACTTTTATTCCTACAGAAATATATTTCTGTTGAACAGTTAAAAACATTTTACTGCATGGCTTCATAAATAAACTGAAAAAAGTATAAGAAACTTGAACACATAAATGCAACTCCTGTGGTTAGTAGTGCAGGTCTATCCTACAGCAAGTCAAGAGTCATTCTGAAGCCAGTGCATTTTTTACAAAGTTTTTGTAAAAACCATGAGGAGGTTTGTGGGATTAATTTAAACTAAAATCAGCTTCACAGGTTTTAAGAGGATTGCTGTAATAGAGAATGTCAAAGAATATGTTAATTATAAATCCTAATTTACTATTTACTTCTGTTACCAGGAAAATGTGTCAATTACCTTAAAAAATACAATGAAAATGTGATAATTATAACAATAGCCACTATTCTGAACAATAATTTTAAGACTGGGGAATAACTTGCAATTTTCAGTTACACATCTGGCCTTCATGACATACTACAAAATGTTATACAAAATTCTCAGATGTCTATTATCAATGAGAATTACATTTAGCCATGTTCAAATAATAATTCTACCTGGTGGTTCCCTTTTCCTGTATCTGTACTGCATTTCCTTTCTCTATAACCTGGATATTTTCCATCCAATAAGTATCATAAATCTTTTCTAGTTAGTGTTCCTGATTATGGTAATGGCAAATCAATTTTCACTTATTTCATAGCAAAACTAGTAGCAGTAGTAATAATAGTATTACACTAGAAAATTACCAAACTATTTATTCAACTACAGTAAGTTCTTGATTAAGGCACAACTGGGCTGCACAATTTCGTCTTAAAACTAATAAAAAAATAAAAAGAGTTCAACCAAACTCCTAGTGAGTGAAAATGATGAACAAAATTTGGATGGTTCCCTTGGTAGATTTTCTCAATCTGCTTGCCAGGCCATGAGGAGTGCTTTACCCCCCCCCCTTAGCCACCAGGCCATAAACAATGCCTTACACCCCTTTAGCCACTGGGCCATGAGCAGTACCTTACACCCCTTTAGCCACTGAGCCATGAGCAGTGTCTTACACCCCCTTAGCCACCAGGTCATGAACAGTGACTTACACCTCCTTAGCCACTGGGCCATGAGGAGTGTCTTACACCCCCTCAGCCACTGGGCCATGAGCAGTGCCTTACACCCCCTCAGCCACTGGGCCATAAGAAGTGCCTTACACCCCCGTTAGCCACTGGGCCATGAACACTGCCTTACACCCCTTCAGCTATGAGCAGTGCCTTACACCCCCCAGTCACTGGGCCATAAGTAGTGCCTTACACCCCCTCAGCCACTGGGCCATAAGCAGTGCCTTACATCCCCTTAGCCACTGGGCCATGAGCAGTGCCTTACACCCCCCTCAGCCACTGGGCCATGAGCAGTGCCTTACACCCCCCTCAGCCACTGGGCCATGAGCAGTGCCTTACACCCCCCTCAGCCACTGGGCCATGAGCAGTGCCTCCACAGCCTCAAAGCATTCTTGGTGAACAAGCCATACCCACGACAGCACTATTCTTAAGTAACTTATGAATGCTTAAGTTATAGAAAACACTCTATAAAAGCTTGAAGAGAACATTCAGTGCATTAAGAATAATTTATTAGGATTATTTACCTAAAGATAACTAATTATTTTATATAACCAGACTTGAGTCCTGGAAATGGGAAATACAATACCTGCACTCTAAAGGAGGGGTTTGAGATATTGGCAGTTTGGAGGGATATATTGTGTATTTTTATACATATATACTTCTAAACTGTTGTATTCTGGGCACCTCTGCAAAAAGTGATTATGTGTGAGTGAGGTGAAAGTGTTGAATGATGATGAAAGTATTTTCTTCTTGGGGATTTTCTTTCTTTTTGGGTCACCCTGCCTCAGTGGGAGATGGCAGACTTGTTATAAAAAAAAAAACTAATTATGTACACTACTGTAATTAACACTGATGCACCTACTCTTGCTGTTCTTTGGCATTTGTTGAACACATTGACAACTGATAATAAAGAGTAGAAATGTGTTTAAACAAGAAAGCTGTATAGTGGAGATGACACAGCTATGACACAGTCAACTAACATCGCACACTGTTTACTGAATATTAACTCACACATTGCTAGGTAAAGCAATGTATTGTTCATTTGGTTAGCATAATAAGGGAAGATGAAGATGAATCTACTACATACAGAGGAACCTCAAAAATCGAACTGCTCCCAACACAACCAATTATGTAAGTGTATTTTTGTAAGTGCTTTTATAAGTGTATTTTTAAGGGTCTGAAATGGACTAATCTAATTTACATTATTCCTGATGGGAATAAATTCATTCGGTAAAGGCACTCCAACAGACTTCTGGACCTAAGAAAGTTCGATTTTTGAGATTCCACTGTACTTGGAACAATCTGTTACTGAAATGTGGCTTAGTATCACCCAGCTATGTTGAGGGGCCCAGCAGTTGCTTTAGTGACCCTATAAATTCCATAACAAAGTAAAGCTCTGTCACATTTGTATTTATATTTTCTTTGGTTTGGCTTTATCAAATGTATTTACGTTTGGTGCATGTTCATTTGGTAAAGGTGTGCCGAGTTTATCGTACTTTTGTTACAATTTGATAAGGAAAATTGGCTTTTATTTTCACCATGTTTACATGTAGTGTGTCAGTTGATAAAAATCACTCCATCCAATCTGACCAAGCAAGCAGACAAAGTTAACCTCCACACTCATCAAATGCTTCAATTACCAACTAACTGAATGTAAGGCAAGGTAAATTGTATTATTTTTTTTACATGGAATAATTAAAGAAAAAACTGATTGGCAAATTTGGATATGTCTGGAACATAACCCTATTTTTGCCTTCATATCAGTTAATTCTAATTTTTTTTTTTTAGAGTAAATGCCAATTTTCGGGAATGTAAGCCTGGCATTAAAAGAGGGTTTACCATACCTGAAAAGACTGACTTTTCAGGGAATATTGTACTCGGCTAGAAAATTTATTTAAACAGAGTATTTTCCACAAATTCATACATCTGTGTTATTTATTTTTAATGCTTAAATAAGTGAAAATTAAAATGCAGCTATTGATCAACATTAAATTTCTAGCAATGACATTTTGCCATAAGCTACCAAAAATTAGCCCAAAACTTTTCTAAAGTTGAGGAATTTGTTACTACAACAGTGGCATATTCAGTTTTTTAAACACTGTTTTTTAAATAAATCTTTAAATCTGTCAGTCAATGAGCTTTTATGAATACACTACTTAGGGCTTAAACTCATATATGATCACAGACTGCGTATTTTTTACAATCAGGATTTTTCCATGCGTGTCATAAGAGGCAACTAAAATGCCAGGAGCAAGGCACTAGTAATCCCTTCTTCTGTATACTAAATGTAAAAAGAAAAACTTTTTCTTCTTTTTCAGGTCACCCTGCCTCAGTGGGAGACAGCTGGTGAAAATAAAAATAGGACTACACAAATAACCCGCACATAGGAGAGGGGAGCTTATGAGGATGTTTCGGTCCAACTTGGACAATTTACAAAGTCACACTAACAGAAAGGAGAGGAGGCAGTATATACAGGCCAGCAGACAGGGATG